CAACACAAAAACATATTTACACACGCAAATGTTATAAAATTATTAAAACTTCAGGACTATGAAAAGGAAATAGAACTAAGAAAAAAATGGGACAGCTATATAGAAAAGCCAGAATTAAGCAAAGAATATTTTTGCTTATCAAGAACTGCTAATCTTTTAAAGGTAATATGATAAGACAAGAAAGTGAAAAGGGGATGCACTTTCACACATGCAAGTACACACACATACACAAAGATGACAAGCTGCAAAGACAAAATCCACCACACACACAGGGGTAGGAAAAGGACTCAACTACGCAGAGGAGAATACAAACCCTGAGAGCAGGGGATGGACAGATGGACAGACATGCCCTGAAAAGGAAAGGAAGGAACAGGTGTATGCGGGGGGGGGGGTGGGCGGGGGAGAGACAGACAGACACGGAGAGGAATGGAGAGGAGTCTCTATGTGTGCAGAGGTTGTTCCCAGCCCCAGACTGCCCACTTTGCTTGACTTCTGAACGAAAGCAGAATGAAAAAAAGTTATTCTCTACTTCTGCTTGCCAAGTTTTGGATTAAAGCCCTCAGTTAATTGGAGGGATTTCAAGTGGAATCAAAGTGGTCTCAACATGGAGATTCTCTGTATTGCAGAAAAAGTCTTGCTCGAGGTGAGCTCAACTCCTGGGACTCCATGGATAGGTCCAGGAAGTTTTCTTGGCATGATGTGGAAGTGGACTTCCACCTGTCTTTTTCCAGGAATTTTTTCCCACTTCCCTGTCTATTCTACAACCATGTAAGACCCTGGTGGTCTTCCATCTCAGTATCAACCAAATCTGGCCCTGCTTAGTTTTTACCAAATCAGCCAAGGTCAGGGAGGGACTACATCAAACGAAGGGAGCTTGCTCAAGGGTCCCTGATCCTGCAAGGTAGAAGAGGCAATGGGGACAGAGAAAGAGTCCACCTTCCATTTTCCCCTTGCAGCAGTGAGGAGTTCTATCTTCACTGCCAAGAAGGGGAAGACCATCCCTCTTCCCTCTGTAGCAAGGATGATGAAACCCCAATTCAGACATCGGCTCTTAAAGTGACCAAGAACAGCAGCAGCCAACCAGCTTGTAGGATGGCCACCAGCCAAGCCTCCAAAGTAGTCACCCCCAACTGAGAGGCCAGAACTGCTTCTCTCCCTCCCTGGGGAAAACAGCTTGGCCTGTCTAGGTCAACCTTTGGCCTGTCTCTTTGTGCCTGGAAGATATCACTTCTGCTTGTGCCCCAGAGACAGCCATTCACTCTTGGCCATGACTTCTGTTCTAGTCCAAGGCTGTTCCTTCCCTTGCTGTTTCAGCCAGAAAATAATATTCCTCAAAGGGCAGAAGGCAGTAGTAGTCCCCACCCCACTTTCTTCACTGGGGTGGTCCCCTAATCTTCATGTGGCACAGTGGAGTTATATGTCTGCAAAGAAGTTCCCGTCCACATTTGGATACCCAAGATGGAGGAGATGACTGCAAGAATTCCGAGGAGATAGCAGGACACCACCTCAAAACAGCTGCTTTGAAGGCAGAACAAGTCCCACAGTTGTTCCCAACTGCATTTCCAACAAGAATGCACCTCTCTGCCTTTGAAAAGGTTCAAAAATCAACTCTCTAAATTTCCTTTCCCCTACCTTTACAATCAGTTTAAAAACAGATTCCCCACCCCTACAAATTCCACCTCCTCTCACTTTTCAAACATATTTAACAGTGGATTTGCATCCTTTCTCTGCTGCAAAGGAAGGGGATGGGAGTTCTGACCCCACCAAGGGCCCCATTACTCTGGAAGAGCCTTCCCTCCATAAATCAGTAAGGATATTGCTTTATTCCCTTGCAGAGAAAAAAAAACTAGCTAAGATATACAGACTTACCAGCATTACTTCTGTCTTCCTCCCAAAGAAACCCTTCATGATGGCTCAAAATTTGCAACTCGTGCAGAATGCAACTGTCAGGTTAAGGGGATGGCAAAATGGGACCACACAACAGCACAACAGAAAGTGTTGCACTGATTGCTGGTGGACTACTAGGCATTAAGATGCTGACCTCTATCTGTAAAACTCTTAAGCAGGTTTGGAACCAGCCAAACCTGCCTACCAAGGTCTACTGGGGATGTTGCTTCTGTACCCTGCACTGGGCAGGGCAGGGCCTCCTCAGTGGCAGCACCCCAATATGGAGCTCTTCCCCAAGAGGACTCCTGCTGGCTTCCAGGGTGGCTTCTTTTAAAAATCTGAAGACAAGCTGCTCATCCTACCACTAGTCCACAACCAAACTATCTCCTATGTTTTAGATAGGAATTCTGCCTTATTCAGTATCAGTAGTTGAACGGTTGATTGCTTTAATTGTTCTTTTGCAATAAAGAACAGTACAAAAATACATAATTCTCCTATGAAATATGTTCTGCCAGAGAAAAGATAAATGACCAATCATTAGCTTGGGTCTACTTTCAGAATCGGTTTCCTAAAAGTCTTTCATAAAGACCTTCTCAGGACACCAATCCTTGTTTACTTTTTAACAGAACAAGTTATCTCCTGCCAGGCTGTCACTATCCTCCTAAAGGCTAGCTCAGGAAAGAGACTGTCCAAGGCCCATCGGGACAGTATCTGTTTGCCTCTGCAAAAGACTCCAGCAGAGAAGATCCCCTTAGTCTGGCAGCTCCGACAACCATCCATTCTTCTAACCCCTCCCCTCCAGATGTTTAGTTTGATCATGTACCAAGTGCTGAACTGCAGTTAATATCAGTACAAGCAGTCCTTATTTAGCAACCACAACTGGGACTGGCAACTCAAAGTGGTTAAGCGAAGTGGTCGCTGAGTGAAACCGCAACAGTGCTTATGATCTTACTTCAGCTTTCCTTTGCTTTACAGACCTGTGAAGGTCATAAATGCAAGGACTGTTCACAAAGTTACTTTTTCATCACCGTCGTAACTGTGAACGGTCAGTGTACAAGGCAGTCACTAAGCTAGGACTACCTGTATAAGAACAGAGAAAGAGATTCAGATTCCTTTGGGAGAAACAGATGCAAATGTCCATCTGTTCTCAGACTGTTTTAATACCTGGCCATGTCTTAGGGAAGCCTGTGCCCTCTGGGTACTTCAAAACTGTACCCTTACCAACACCCAGGAAACATGGCCTTGGTAGTGCTGGCTGTACCATCTGAGAGATGCAGTCTTAACACATGTGTATAAATGCATCTATCTCCAATATCAGGTTTGTAGCTGGCTGGAAGCATCATATTTTGCCCTCTCCTTTGTCAGCCAGAAGGCATAATCAGAAAATTGATGTTTTGAAATTTACTTTGTGGCGGAAATGTTCTTAATACTTGAGGAATTCCAAGAGGCTATGCTATTTTTTAACATGATTAGCTATGCTATCAAAAATGATTTTATTATCAAATATTTCAAATTATTATCAAATATTGCAGAGTCTACTGAAGATATTTCTAATCAAAGCTGGCAGTTAGATAGCAAAGACTTGACTATTTTACTTTATACTGTTGAGTACATTGGTAACAATCTTATTTTCCACTCTTAAAGACCAATTCCAGGAAGAAGAGACATCACCCAGTGCTGTCACAAACTATCTCGTATGCATCGCAGCAGAGGTAGCACAGAGGTAGAAGAAAAGCAATGTGCCAGCGACAGAAATGCACTGTCATGTAGATTGCAATATCACCAACAACAAAAAGCATTTCTCCTTCTCTCATCAAACACGGCACTTAATCTAGTCGTTATTAAGCATGCAGTTTGCCGCTACAGCCATAGTGACAGCGACGCTAGGCCAGAGGTGATTTTCTCCTTATCCTAGAACTACAGTAACAGCAATTTACTGTTAAATCCGTTTTCCAGACCGCAAGCGTGGGGAGATCCACAGCACCGGAACAGAAACGCGCAGCTTCTCTCTCGTCGGCCACGGGCTTCAATCCGCGCATCATGCTAGGCAACGCTTAGCCACGCCAACCAGTATCTTAGGCCAGGCAATCTGGTCTACGAGTCACACGGGCTCTTTCCACACAACGTGCTAAGCCAAGGCCAAACCAACCACATCACGGCTTCTTGTGATGGAGGAATCCAGCCGTAGGTCTTTCGCCTTGTCCCGGGAATACACTGAATGCTATTTGTTTCTGCACGAACGCCTCTAGAGCCCGAGCTGCCCCATTTCTTGGCGCGGGCTCCACTGACCTCTCACCCGCCGGTGCCCCCGC